GACCTCCAGAATAAAGCTGGTCCTCACCTGTGTGACCTGAGATGTGCCCCCTGCTGGTCCTCATGCCCTCAGCATCCCAGGGATGGCTCCTCTGCTGAGCATCTGATGGGGTCCTGGCCACCCACGGACAATTCCTGATTCCCTGTTCTTGGGTGAGACCCAGCAAGGATGGGGACTCTGTGTCCACCGGGAGGTGCCGAGGTGGGAGTGTGTTGGTCCATGTGACCTGCAGCAAGCCTGCCGGGGACCAGAAGCCAGGTAGTGGTGTCAAGACCTGTGTTTTTAGACCTTCCCAGTGTCCCGTCAGGTGAAGGCCAGAACATCTGAGCCCACAGGGTCCAGTCTGCCTGCTTCTGGAGGCTCCTCTGTGTGGCCCAGTCCTGTCCCCTCATCACATGCTCACATGCACCTTCCCCAGCCCTCCCGCCCATCTGGCTCTGCCTTCGTGTTCCCCGGGGCTGCAGCAAGGCAAGGAGCAGGTGGGCACGGTGCTGCAGGATCACGTCGGGCATGGTAAGCTGGAGTAGGTCACCTGCCTCTGGAGGCAGGGGAGCTGGGGGCAGAGAGTCACCTTCCAGGTCCTGTTCCAGCCAATGCCCAGGACAGAGAGTTCGTCCTGCGGGAAGTGGGTGGGTGGCACAGTCAAAGGCCTGGGTTCCCCTTCCCCACAGCCCCACATGACACCCCTTGTGGGGGCTGTGCCTGCCCCATGCATCCACAGGCCAGCGCAGACCCTAGCCCGTGGGCTGTCCTGGCAGTGGCAGGGCTGGCCACCTGCCAGGGGCCGGCAGATAACCTTCACTGAGGGAGCGCTTCATCAGTGGCCACCTCTCCCCATCATCAAGGAAGCCTGCCACACTCCTGTCTGTCTCCTGGGCAGGGAGGGCCAGTGCCTGCTCTGTTCCTTCACTGGCTGCACACAGTAGGTGACTTGTCACTCTCTGAGAAAGAAAACAAGCACAGTCCATCCCTGTCCACCCTTCACAGGGACCCAGAGGCATCTCCCCATGCAGTTGATGCACCAATGTGCTCCCTATTATGTAGATTCTCATCTTCCCACTGAGGGGATTCTCAGGACTGGTGGCTGCAGCCACCCCAGCCCCAT